AAGTCATACATCCGCTCGCGCTTGACCTGCGGCTCCAGCGTGGCGTGGGCTGCGATGCAGAAAGATAGGCTACAAGCAGCAGAATCTCCGTGCGTGGAACGACGCGATAGCACGAAATTAAAAAATTGAATCCATTTCGATAGTCGTGGCCCACATTTGGCTCCGCTACACGCTCGCCCAAGAGACGGGCGCCCACTTCCACGAGATCTACTGGGGAGTCAAACTCTCGGACAAGCTGACCTTAGGATGATGATGATATTTGCTCGACTTCAGAGTGTCGGTAATGTTGTTGCAGCGTGTGTTTTTATATAATTATATATTTGATGACTCCGTGGCGCAGTCGCCAAGGTTTCGGCTCCGGCGCCGGGGTCGTGGGTTCGATTCCCACACGGGACAACTATTTGTGTGACCCCCAAATATCTGGGTGTTTGTCCGCGTGAAATTTATGTTTGTTAAAACGTCCTTACAACACAGGATAATGTTATCCCAAAGTAAGGGCAATGTTTTTTTTTTAAATGACAAAAGAAAAAATCATATGTATATATTTATGTGATTATATGTGTCCTTTGGCACACTCTACGGTGTAAACATTTCGATGAATTACAACTAATAACGTGTCATTAGATTCGACTCAGTGGTATATTATTATTGCAGTATGGTGTCGTCGAAAAAGAAAATAGAGAAATAGTATTTTTCATGCAGTCTGGTTTTTGTTTCATTTTATAATTTATACCTTATATGTATGTTAATTCACCGTCCATTTCAGAAGACTGTCTCATTGCTATTGTCCGACAGTGTCAAACCGTGTGATTTCGTAATCAATTACAACCCAAGGCTAAATAAATCTGTTATGATATATTCGTAAAACTGACAGAGATATTGAACCTTTCTTGAGGTAAATTTTATTTGTGCTTACATAATATATTGTATAATCTCGAAAACTTCTTGTAAAGTTCTAGAGTTAATTTTCAAAAACATTTATTTAAGATTAATCCAAAAATCACATTTGTGTTGGCGCTGGCAACACTGTATACCGGATATGACGTTATCTACTCGAGCCAAGGGACACATGGTCGCATGAAGCAGCGGTCACTTGGATTTTGGCTGCGGCCCCGGTCGGTGATATAACCGATAGTTCTGCTTGTTGTTATAATAGTTGTTAATAGTCAAGTAATAGTTAAAATATTAGGATCAAGGTAAAAACGTTTGAACTCTTATGTATGTCAAATGAATTTAATTAAGTTTCCCGCTTGCTTTAGGGTACTTAGATTTGTTTATATTTGCGTTTGACAAGGTCCCCAACTTGAACTTGCCTTCGGCTTTTACTATTCAAAGGTTTTTTTTTTCATTGTTTTCCACCCAGTCAAGGCATACGATAAGCTTTTGCATTACAATCTAATGCAATTTTACTCAAACATTTCAAAAATCTTAGTCTGAATGAGTTTAAAAATCAAAAGGTTTTGAGCAAAACTTTGTAAACTTTGTACATTACATACTAAAAAAATTAATGTGTCTCTCTACTACACTGTCATATTACTCTTTAGATGATAGTATTAATCGTGCTTACTTTTATTGTTTACTATTCTGTGAATTAATAATAAATTATGCAAATCAAACAACTAGACAACTTATGGAAATGAATACGACATTGGGGATAAAAATAAAAATGCTCATTTGTTCCACGTACATTTATTACATAAAAATACCTAAACAAATAATTCTAAACAGTAATATCACAAAATAATAGTACCTTAAATGGGAACAAATAGTTCGTCGGGTGAAACCAAAAAGGGGAGCCCCCTATAGCCGAAACGGGGCTTGGTGGGCCCGGGGCAATTCTTTTAGAATCACAAGAAAAACAAGGTCACCGGGCCCACAGAAGTGTTAGAAACGTGGGTATTTCCATGCGGCATAGTACACCGAAGATTATATTATGCGAATACAACATCAAGTGAATATATTAATGGCGGCTTTGCGGGACGCGCGGATCCAGTCCGAGCGGTGATGGACATAAAGTGCTCGATAATGAGGGATAGATCACAAGGACCTCATGCGCCCCGCTGCCGCCCCCACTTAGCTATAGTACGGCCACCAACGTTCGCCCCGTCATGATATCTCCCTCGGGGCATTCCCTATTACTATGCGGGGAAGCCCCGGGGTCGGTTGGGATTTGGCGATTGGAATGATCGCTTCGCGCCGCAATATGTCGCCGTTCCGAGAGCGGTAGGCGCATCCCAATGGCAATAGATACAGCGGGAGGAGCGATTAGTTAACAGTCGTACTGCACGTTAAACAGGCCCCCCGTCCATCGCTCGCACTATTCGTTCGTCTATACTAGATTACAGTAAAATTTCTCTAAAAAACGTATCCATACGACCTGTAATTTAGTTACCCCACAAAACCATCAGTGCAGAGCTCCGGTGCGGCGTTTAACGCCAAAACGCCCCGATTAAATCACACATAAACACATCTTACATACCACCGGAACGTTTTATATCGAATACAGATTTTGCTTAACACTAACATTAATACGATTGACACTCGAGAGAGGGAGGTGCCAATCGAATATACTTATAAGAATAGGTATTATGTTTGTTAACTTATATAGAGAACCTCGAAACGAGGCGGAATGTGTAGAAGAAGACGCAGGAAAATTAGAGACGGTGGTACGGCCACGCAACATTCTTTCGCTGTTGCAAGAATGGCCAGGTCTGTCCGGTCATGTACCACTGCCTCAGGGAAGACCGGCGTGAAGTGGAAGTAAATTGGAAGTAATTTATCGAAAGGTGGCAACGCATCTGCAACCCTACGGGTGTTGCAAATGTCAATAGGCGACGGTTATCACTTAATAGCGGTGAACCGCCAGCTCGTTTGCCACCTTCTCATATAAAAAAAGATTAAGAGAAATGCGGCGCCACTGGAGGCCACTGTCAACTTCTATGCTAACATACATGTCGCGTCATCGACCGAGGTGCGAAAGTGGTGGGCGGAGAAAAAGAGGGCGGTGGGTCGAGGAAGAGAAGTAGGTATAAATTAGTCTACAAAGAGGGGAAGATATGAAGAGGTGTCGGAAGTGAGGAAGGTAAGTACTGGCGTAGGAAGGTGTAAAAAGGCATAGGAAGAGTGGAAAATATGAAGAGGCGTAGGAAGGGAGGTAGGTGAAAAGAGTCCTAGAATGAGAGAAAGGTACAAACAGGGTTAAGGATGGAGGGAAGTAAAAAAGGACCGTAGGAACAGAGGAAGGTGAAGAGTCGTAGGAAAATATAAAGGTAAAAAGTGGTGCAGTAAGGTGTAAAAAGGCGTAGGAAGAGAGGAAGATACAAAGAGGTGTAGAAAGTAACTGAAGGTATAAAAAGACGTAGGAGACAATGAAGATAAAAAGAGATGTAGGACGGTGCGAGTAGGCGTAGGAAGAGTGGAAGTTATAAAGAGGTGTAGGACGAGAGGTAGGGATACTTTATGGTAGGAATCGCGTAAAATAGAATGGAAGATATTATAATAGGCTCGGTCCATGGCAGCGAGGTACTTATCCTAATTTTTTTTCGACCCGACACAATATCGTAGACGATGAGCGCGCTATAAAAGATAAATCTCCGTGTCGGGGTTTTTTGTTTTTTTTTTCTTTTGCCTTAATCTAACAATGACACAACGATGGAATTACAAAAAGATTATACAAGGTCAAATGAATACTGGACTCGAACGTGACGGTACAAAATAAACAAAATATCATCGAATGAAATATAAACTAGCGAATGGTAAACGATCAAACATTAGATAAACATATATTAACCAAGGAATGGTGTAATGATATTAATAGAATGACACACGATACAATAGTACGGCGATACAATGTATAAATGATAATGATACAACGAGTCAACGATACGATTATAAATATAATGACTTCACGACAGGGCGTTGTAAAAAATACGAATGCCCTTATAACATTTGGTGGCGTCAGTCCATCGTGACGTCATTATATAAAGTTTATCGTACATCAATAACATTATCTTATTACTACAATAAGGCATATTGTTGCGCCAATAAAGTCAATTAATAAAACGTGCGCCGTCCATTCGACTGATTTCAATAGCCCAAATGTGGCACAGTTCGAGAGCTGCTGACAATATAGACGACTCTTTCGGAATTTTCCAGACAATAAGTGCATGATTTCGCGATTTACTTAGCTGATTTGATCTACGGGCACTTCGTGGCAGAGTCGAGTTCGGTGGTGATGTCTCACAAAAATTTTGCAATAAAATCTAACAGTTTTTTCAATCAGAAACATTATTTTATCTTAAAAATTATATCCGAAAATTAACTGTAGGTGTTGTGGAAACCGCGACATTATAGTAAAGAAAAATCGGAGTAAATCGGAGTTGAGGGTGTCCTGAATTGCGTTATTCGCAGTGGTAAACTATTGGTGCAAAATCTGTGCCACATTTTAACAAATTTACAATTAAATCAAAAAAAGAAACCTTATTACCAACGATAGAAAGAATGAAATGTGAAACAGAAGAGAATTGTAAAGCAATTAATAAACTAATAGATCTAAATTAAATAATTCAAAATCAAATCGTCTCAACCGATGAAAATTATAAACTGAATCATTATTTTAAAATAAATAACAAAAATTGTTATTAATCCGCAAACCTATCAAACTGTATAACATTTTATAAATCTCTGAAATTTTAACAGTATATATAACTCTTTAAGACAAAGCGTGTAACTCAAGATAACGAACAAAGAGACGAAAATGATTAAAAAAATATTTAAATTATATCCAAAAACAAAATTAGCAAAAACTCAACACACATAGCTATCGAAAGCGAACTCAAATGGAATAAAAAAAAATTGAACATATTAAAACGAAGAGAAATAGAAATGAACTACGACAAATAGCAAAATCAAAACGCGAAATAAGTGAAACGGACTAGGGACCATCGAAATCAGCCGAATGGGTGGCGCACAAATATAAGAACGTCCATCTTATAAAAGAAATGGAACGCGATGAATGCCATTCATTGGTCGAGTCAAATGGGCGCGGCTGGAGCGCGGACCGATCAATGATGAAGAGGGCGCGCGGGCTGCAGGGGGAGGGGGCGGGGGCAGGGGGTGGCGGCGCCCCCCCCGGACCCCATCACCGCCCCTGCAGACAACCGCCGCCGTTCCCGATAAACAACCTCAATAACATCAACTGTCGTAAAATTTTAATAGTCAAATAGACAATGGGGCACTTCGGTAATAGGGCAAATACAACAGGCGGGCGCGCGAATCACCAATACGTAACGCAAGATCGATGGAGGTCCTACAAATGGGACACGCGTCCGCTATATAAATATAAATAGACATTTATATAGATATGTATAAATATAAAGAGATCCGCAATCAATAAAATACGAAAGAATCAATAAATCGAGATGTGTGCTTGACGCACGGCACTGCGTGGTTTGCCTTCGGCCTGCTAAGCCCGCGCCATACGGGCGTCGGTCGCTTGGCCGCTAAAAAGGGGGGAATGTTTGGCCGTGGGTGTGGTGAACTGCCCGGATACAGAGTGGATATCCAGGATCCAAAGTGGACGCGACCGGATCCGAGCTCGCTACACCGAGACCTTAGATGAATGCGCCGCCGGAACAAAGGCAAAAGGGCCGTGATGTTATGTTCCGACGATCGCAGACGCGACGGTATTTGAAAGCCACGACCGAACATCCCAAACAAAACCGTAATACAACAAAGAACATTCATATACGGCCTTACGCTTAAATTAGAATAAACAAGAATATGCTAAGCGTTGACAGGCACCCTACAGTGGCGACCGCATTTTGATTAACGAAGAGCATTTTGATTAAAAGAAGAAGACAGAGTGTTCCGACTTAATGCTAACGACTACACAAGTAAAACCGAATCGCCGGCCCGGGTACAATGGGCGCGGCGATCAGATATCTTAAAACTATATTAAATTCATAGAGAACATCCGTGGCGGGGACCAACACTACTGGGTTATATAACGGCCCCGCGCACGATCGTAACACCAATGCGAAAAAACACGTTCCTTACAAATCCCCTCAAACTTGAATAATGTCACTTCACAAGGTAAAGCAGTCTTTCCCCGGAAGAAATGTTCGTTAGCAAATAGAGACGCACGCGTTCGTTGGAGGATGACCGCAGAGCGTAGCGCAGACCGCAGGGGCTGCCACAAATGAGCCCTGGAGCTCAATCTGAGGGCTCGGGCCGGCCGGGTTCGCGGGGTGGCGGCATGATGCGCGGCGGCCCCGAGCCCTCGGGCCTGCCGGACCTGCCCGCGCGGATTATCTCCAGCTTCGAGTGGATGCGGAACAGCAGGCGGGACTCCAGCGCGTAGTTCGAGTAGCGCTTCCTGGCGACAAGGCGACGGACGTTAGCATCGGCCTCAGTGTTCAGCCCCGTGGGCTTACTACGTTTACGGTAAGCGAATTTCATGCAAGCGAGCCCTCCAACAACCCGGAGGGCCTTGGTTCCGAACCGCCTCCCGTTGTTTCGGGGCGGTTCATTCCCAGCGGCGGCAAGAGTCACCTATTAGCCGTAATGAACTCACAATTTCAATGTCGAGTACAAACCTGGTATCTTGCAAGATCCGCTCGGCGCGGTTGCTGTCGCCAAGCGAATAGTGGCACATGGCGGCCTCGACCAGCGCGTACGGAACCAGGAATGAGTCCTCTTTGATCTTATCCCTTAACCTACGGATTGACATTGGGATGGTCAGACGAATGCATTAGTAATTTTGCGGCCTAATGCATGTTTCATCGGTCCTAAGCGGCCCGATGAAACATGAATTGAACATCGATGCGTCGACTGGCGCAGTTGCCATAGTAGGCTTGGGAGCTAGGGCTCCTGGGTTCGAAACACGCTCGCCAGTTCTTGAATGATCTCCGTTTCTTAGTAGTAGCGCGTCTGTGTGTGCATAGTTGTTAAGCAGCTCTAAAAGAATGGAATAATTTAACAAAAGTTTCTTTTGTTAAGAAGAAGGTAAAGAGAAAATGTCTACAGGCTATTCCGAACGGGTATACAGAAACACGGGTTACTTGGGGGGTTACAAAGGTACCTGGTAACTTCATCCAGATGGTGCAAGGCGAGACGTGGCATCCCTAAAGCGGCCAGGCAGCAGGACCGAAGGTATTTCAGCAAAGCTCTGTTGTCAGCCTCCACGTGGCGTAGCGTCAGGCGATCGTCTTTGATGAGGTGCTCTTCCGACAGCTCTATTTGCTGTGAGGAAATCAAACCTTTTGGAGGAAATCTTTCCGGGCCCCTCCGTTGACCATCGATAAGAATCCCGTCGAAGTAATTATCACATTTGCGACTTTGAAGGGAACAATTAAAGTAAGTTTTGGCATTTTTAATTAAAACAGAAAACCCACGAAGGAGCGATTTCAAGAATCGGTATCGATTAACATCAGGTGAACGGCCAGCTTGTTTGTCACATAAAAAAAGTTAAATCGGCAAAGCGAGTTTTATAGTTGTTGTAGAAACGTTCAAAGTCAAAGTCAAAGTATCTTTATTCAATATAGGCTTAACTTAATCTCTTGATGAACGTCAACAAAAAATCTACCACCGGTTCACTAAACTAGACCTGCACAGAGAAGAACCGAAAAGAAACTCTGCGGTCTTGTTCTTTTTGTTGGTTGGTAACGTTCGCCGGCGGATGCAAATTGTGCAGGTAACTGGACAGCGCAATACCTTAAGTAGGACGTGGAGGGATTTCGCGTCCGAACTCAGGGCCGCCAGCATGTTCCAGACACACATAAGCTCGATAGCAGGGACAAGGAGGGCGCCGCCTTGCGCCTCGAAGCGGGCACAACGGCGCACGACCCACTTCTCCATCGGCAGGGACTTGCCGGCGATCCGTTGCCGGCACAGCGGCGCCGCTCTGCAAAGCGACTGGGGTGAGTGCGGTGCCGCGGCGCGCCGGCCCCGCAAGCCCGCCCTACTCGCAACGTCCACACGCCGAGCCACGCCCCGCCCACGCCCGCCACGCTACTCTGTGAAGCGAACGGAGCTGCGCCGTACGCCGTGCTTACTTGAGCAGCTCCGCGGCCTGCCGGCGCTCGGCGGAGGTAGCGCCCTCCCCGAGTTGCAGTAGCAACGCTGCTTTCGCATAGGAGTACACCGTACGGGACCAAGAGCTCTCTTCAATGAGACGCCCCGCGTACCCCGCCGCCTCGCGCCAGTCCAACATCATGCTACACAAAACATCCAACAAATTGAGTGTCGCATGCAACTAATTATTAACTACTCTAATGAAGGGAACAAAATGAAAAAACTTAAAGGGAAAATTATACGATCACAACAAAACATAAGTCACCATTTCAAGTTACTAATATAAATAACTTAATATGGTTGTACAAATTAAAATAATTAACATAATGATATATAACTTTTCACAATTCATCAATCATTAATTAAAAAAATATATACATGTTATATTTTACAGTACAGTTATTTATTTTACGTGAAACTGAGTTGAATTAAAAATGAGTGTAATGTTGAGTGATAAAAAAATATTAACTAGTGTATTAGGTACACAATTTGATGTCTGAATATTAAATCTCTAATATTTACTTTAAATTTTTTTTTTCAAAAATCAAATAAAATACTGTTGTTAAATTTTTGGATGATTATACTTTAAGATAAGGGTGACCACTTAATTCAATAAATGATAAATAAAGAAAAAAACCAACTTAACAGGAACAAAACCGAAAACAAATCTAAGACAATCATGCAGTTTACCCATTAATAGAACGAAAATATAGGACACTCAATAAATACGATAAACTGCAATAAATCTAATAATACCAATTCTAATTTAAGCCGCTGAATATGGAACACTATCTATGCACTGCAAAAGCGTAGCCTAGGGAGAACGGAAGAAGGTGAAAGGCGCGCGTGGGGTGACTGAAGTATTTTCTTGAAAAGAAGTAAGTGATAATTTTAATCATCGACACCTAGGAGGTTCCAGCACTGCTGGTGTGTTCACTCCCGCTCTGAATCGCGAACGGACCGCCGGCAGCGTGCCTCCACAGGCACAGCCACGCTGCCGTCGGAACCGTCGCGGTGGCGACTCGCTAGCTCCATATAGCATAAGGCGCGTGCACACGGGGAGCTACAACGAAGTGACTCCTCGCTTGGCGGCCAACCCGGGTTTCAGAAGCAATAGCCCCGCCCACAGAACTCCCCGTGTGCACAGCGCCTTAACACCAATTCGCAAATCATACAATACGCGAGTAAACGCTGGCTAATAAGGCGATCGCTGCTCACAATGCTGGAATGGCTCGGCTGTACCGTTCTCTCGTATTTTACGACGCGAAAAGTAAAACGCCGGGCATAATTGTATTAGTAGTCAATGGCGAATAATTAATGTGAACATAATTTTTGCGGTCATATGTAATAGGTAAATTAACGATAATGGAACACGTCGCAAACTCATACATTAGTACAAATACATCACTGTAAACAATATGAGAACATAGGGATAACACATCTACTTGGTGAACATTCCTTCTCCTGTCGGCCCGGAACCCTGGGATTAAGAGGGGATTTTTGAAAACTAGAGTGTTATGGCCGCAGGTACACGCCGTCACCGCTACGGCCCTGGAAACGCTGGGGACCCGGTACTCACGCGTTGGCCCACATCAGCTCCCAGTGGCACAGATGGCGCAACTGCCTCCACAAGTGGGGGGTCTCCGCTGCCCGACGGTAGGTCGCCGCCGCCAAGGCGCACCGGCCACGGAGCAGTTGCAGCCTTCCCTCGAATAACAGAAACCATACGCCCTCGGGGTACACCTGTTGGGGAAGTTCACACGGTAAGTAGCGCAAACCTCCCACGATCCATCGACAACTTAACAGCTTCTACGATTCGCATGTTTATTTTAGCAAAAGCATTAGGAACATGCTAGAAATTATTCACTTTCTGCATATTGTCACTATATTATAAATTTTTATAGACTCGTTTGAATGTAGCTCTCCGCCGAAACTGACCCACCTTCAGCTGTGTATCCAGTATGCGATGACAAAGGTCGAAATCCGGAGTGGCACCAGCGAAATGGCTCACCACCAAATGGTACGCTAGCAGAGTCAGCTCGCACAGGATCCCACGGAGGCCCGGCTCCCGGGCCCCCGCTTGCAGTTCCGCGAGACCGCTCTCCTGCGAATTGAGCTGACTATGTCACACCTTCCTAAGGACAGCGCGTGGCGAATTCCACCAGCCATATGACCCAGAAAGTTGTTGTCCAGGGCTGACTGGTAGAAAATGCCATTAGGCATTAAGTTCGCCCATTGTTAGCCCTTAGCTTAACGTTTAGCAATGAAGCCTAAATAAATAAAGTGTGAAGTAGTAATGTTAGACAAACCTAGACCATATCTTGATCAGTTTCAAGTGAAATCTTTCTTGTTTATATAATCAAAAATAATATAAAAAGATTGTTTCTTTACTTTAGTTATTCCTATAAAAATCTGAACTGATTATAAATTTCACGAAAGATATGTCTGTCATTAGGATTGGGGCAATCTAAATCATCAAGCAGCTTTAAGCTGTAGTTAATGTTACGTGTATGTGGTTTTCCAATACAGCCCCACTCCACTACCTGGTTTCCCTCGAATCATAAGCGTTCTCTATTTTTTTGGCTGAATCAACCACCGTCAGTTACAGATCCACCTGGCTTGATGTAGCCGAGCGACGAGGGCGCCTGTACCTCGATTATAAGCATTCATTAAATATCCAACTTTTATCTACGTCCACTGTAGTTAACACCGGTGTTTTTAAGAAATATTTCTATCGCCTTTGTGACAGACCGTGGCATGGTCTGGCGATGATGGAATAAATTTGAACATGGTCGAATGCGCGTAAAAATAATAGATAAGTCAATAAGTTAATTCAAGTAAATTCCGACATTCAAATCGCACTGACCTTGTCGCCCGAGAACCCCACGAACTCCAGGAGAGTAACCAGCCGAGGTGGAAGCATCGCTATCATAACGCTGAACGTGGCGAGGCCCAGACGAACGCCGGAGTGAAAATGTTGGCGTGACTCCATCGTCTCCCATTTCTTTTTCTCTAATATTCTGGAGCACTCTCTGAGACAAAGGGAGAGGAAACAATAAGTTAAATCTTTAATGAAGAGCCACTTAAAACCTCAGCCTCCCTTATTGTTATGATAAGGGAGGCTGAGGTTTTACGTTAGTGTAAAGATGTCTGACTGTGTTATTTTAACTAAAACGTAAAATCAAATGCGTTTAACTGTAGCCTCCAAAATCGCCCTTTAACCATTTAATAACATAGAAACATTGATTGTGTTGTTGACGAATTGTAATGTTCAAGATAAAGAAATTCCAAACAGTTGCTAGTTACTCCTTGACAGTAAAAAAGTTGTCACAGTTTGAGATCGAACCTTGAGAATTTATTCGGTAAACAACTCGTAACAACATGTTATCTCGGCGAACTTTGGTATTTCGAAATTGGAGTTTCAAGTAATTATATTCCTTAATTTAAAATCAAATAATCTGACAAAATCAAGCGCTTGCAGAAACTAACACAAACGAGCAGCTAATAACGTAAAAAAACATAAATAGAAGAAAACGGATAAAATACAATGCAATATTTCCTTATACTTTAAAACAAATTATTTCTCTTATGATGTATTCGTAAATTGTGTTAATGATAATGTTCTGTTCGTTCCACCGTTTAATTTAACTATCTATTTATATATCAAAATGACGTCATCATCAGATATTTTCATTTCTTTTATGACATAATTTTATTAGACCTTGAATATTTTGAAATGTTGACATGGTTGATAAGACCTGTCCATTGAAGTTACTGAAGTTTAAAGAGATGAAATCCGGCAAGTTCCTAAGGCCAACAGATAAAGACATGAATATTTCAAATACCATTAAAATTAAATCACTGAAAATAGTATAAAATGAGAAAGGGCAAATATTAAAATAACTGTCCAGTATTCGTTCCGAAAACAGTAATACGATTGCGATGAAACTTTCATTTAGTTGATACGTCAAATAGTAAATGAATTAAAGACGTGTACGTTTTTTTATAATGGATCGTTCTGGAGGCCTTTATAGATCCACCGGGCTTGAGGTGGCCGGGCGCAGAGGCCGCAGGCGCTTGATTATGTGTGACTCGAGGGCACTCGACATAATCAATTTGTATGAGCCTCGGCTTGGGCCGTCACGCTACGAGTATTATCATTATCACCAGTTTGGGAGGCCGCGAAGCTCTTTTTTTTTTTAAAACATTGCCCTCTAGGATAATTTATTATCCTGTGTATCCTGTAAGGACGTTTTACAAACATAAATTGCACGAGGACAAACACCCAGATGCGAAACAACTATATGTGGGGCGCACAAATAGTTGTCCCGTGTGGGAATCGAACCCACGACCCCCGACGCCGAAGCCGATACCTTGACAACTGCGCCACGGAGTCATGTGCTCTTAGCTCGGTTTGGTGCCATTAAGTAACTAGGCTAGGGCCCCGGACCTCGACTTGGGCTGTTACTCAATATCCATTTAACATTCCGATTTTAGGGTGCCCAAGAGAAAGTGCAGGACCTAGACTCGATCGATAGCTGTAATCGGACTATGAGACTATCTAAAGTTATAATTACTAACACTTCGGCATGCGTCGGCGCTGGGAGATGTGGCGAAAGAAGCCAAGAATTAACGGGGGAAACCTGCCAGGTATGCAGCGGAACCTAGTGTATATTTGCCATACATGCCTGGGGGTGATCGTCAAGGAAATTGAGGACGTGTCGGAGTCTAAGCCATATGCGGTGGAACGTACCTAGTGGTAGGGGTCTTTAGGTGACGGCACCTACGACTAACGGAGTAGAACGAGTACGTGTTGTAGCGGTTTAAGTTCAATGTAGACTTACTTGTAGGTGTTGTAGCAGGTCTTGACCTTGAGTGTAGCCCGCAGGAATCCGGCCAGATCTTCGCCATCCAGGACGCACAGGGCTGCTTGCAGGAGCATGGCCTCTGCGTGGCACAGCTCTGCGTGCGCTTCCATATCCGTCATTGTAGCGTAATTCGGCTGGTGAAGAGGTTCTCGAATACCGTTTGCGGTCTCATCACACATTTTCCTCCCACTGTTCACAGGTGGATATAGGGCACCGCGACTTGGGCTACATTTGTTTATAATCGACGAACTCATAGCTTAGCATTTTGCTAGCCTTTTGTCTCCATAAATGTACCCACTATTCTGTTTTAACATTCCCGATCATTGTGTATTCAAAATACGTTACAGTAATTTGAGCGTAGCCAAATAACCCAGCGGTGCAGAAAACAACGTGAGAGTTAAATGTCTGTGTTATAGTGCAATGAAATTAATTCGCGACAAAATCTAAGCCACAAACAAAAAAGGGAAAATTTAAATTACATCAAATTAAAGATAAATTTCGAAATTCGTTTGAATCCCATTTATTTTTAATTCGTGAATGTGTGTACATTTCATTGTATTTTAATCATATTTTGATTGGAAAAATAATTTTTTGCGGATCTCACGCGAAATATTGATTATCTCCAAACCGAAGGCATTCTAATAACTAAACATTAAAATGAATCACATATGTGACGGAGTTAGGAATACTCAAAGATGGAATACCTCAGGTGGATGGATTCGCTAGTTAGTGCCAACGCAACTCACCGACAATTCGCCGGGCAGACGCTTGGAGCGGCCGTGGCTACGTACCTTCTTGATCATGGTGCCGAGGGTCTCCACCAGGGTGTACGAGCGGCGGTGTTGTTGGCAGAGCGTGTGCGTACGCTTCAGGGCCGCCAGGGCGCGTGCCACTTGAGCCGAGTCCAGCGTTAATACCGCTGGAATGAACTCGAAAATGGAGACGCCCAGGCTGTGGTACAGCGAAGTGCGGCTCCTGATGTGTAAATCGAACGTCAGTGGCTTGCAATGATGATGTTGATGCCTCTTGTCCCGTGGAGGCCAGGAGGCATTGTTACATCCCATCACGGTTACTATCATTGCGCTGGCTTGATTAGTATTGCCGAAACCCAACCAGCGGTAAAAAGAAACGCCTGCGCAATAGGATCGGAATGAGCTGGGGAGATCCCATGGTGATGATATCAGAAGAAATAGATTTATAACAGAAGATTATATATGTACTCTTGCAAAGCCCGTAAAGCAAAATGTTATCAAATATAAATATATTAACGTAAGAGGGTATAAATAAAATAGAGTATAACAAAAGAGTATTAATAAAATAGCCAAGTGCGAAAGAAGAGGGCAAGAAAGAAAAACGATAACCATATAAAAAACTCATCATGAATTAAACGGGAAGACAGGGGAATAAGCATGCTACTGTAGCAAATGCAATTCCGATCCCACTGCTCACCGCGGAAACAGACCGTCACTAGTTGAATTAAAACTAACTTCCACTGACTTTGGAGTTCACTTATTTTAGTGCCGCTAGATGAAACTACAAACGTTACCACTAAGCTTTGTTCAACGGTATTCAACAGAACGGTAAAAGTAAATAATTTACCCTTCCGTTCGTTCTTAAAAAGAGAATTTTACGTACCATGTTTGCATGATATTCATTGCGCTTTCCATATCGTTGTTGAAGAATTTCTTTATGGCCAGTTCACAGTCGGCCAAAGCTACGTGTAGGTCCATGTTGGGTCTGAGGGTAAGGGTAAGAACTAAAGTCAGCTGATAACGAGAATGACAATCAGCAATAAAATATAATTGCTACTTTATTACAGTTATGAAAACAACTGCAAGTTCCTTTATTTTGAAGTCTTAGATAAAACTACTCAGGCAGTATCCAGATATTGTACTCACTCGGGTGGTTCCTCGGCGGCATCCTGGAAATTATCCTGCGGGGAAAAACAAACACTTGTATTAAATATGCCCGAAAGTATACCAACTGCTGCAGAGAATGCTTACAACAAAGGAAAGCAAGCAAGACGGGGGCGCGAAGTGAAAGCAAAATACTTCCGCGTTCCGCCTTGGCTTCGATATAACATTGGCCCAAGTTATTGACGATTCGGAACGCAGCTACGGTCGCTTGGGTGTTGCAGATATCCTTGGGTGGAAGCATTCACTTAATATACGGTGAACCGCTAAAACAGCTTGGTTGCCAACTTTTCGCATAAAAACAACTATTGATAAATGGACTTGTCCATTTTTTTATTAACGTTACACAAAACCGACTTCTCGCTCTGTGTTCATTTTATTTTCAGGAGTACCCTAAGTATCCCCGGAGCCCAAGATCCAATACCAAATGAAATTAATACGAGACCACAATGGGATGAGACAACTTTCAAATAAAAAAAAACAATCATCCAATCGGACCCACTCAGTCGATAGTTCAGAGGTGGCCAACGTTAAAATGCAGTCGAACTGAGATCCTCCTTTTTTGAAGTCGGTCGAAAAGCGAACGATGCTCACTTCTTCCTCCGTCTCTGTCAATGACATATTCCTGAAATCTTGTGGGAGAGTGGCGAGGGGGCCACTCTCTTGCTCGCGGGCCATGGCCCGTTGGTCGGCGCGCCGGTGGCGTCGCCGGCGGCCGCTCGATCTCGGGGTCCCTCCTTGGTGGGCGCCGCAGTCCGAAGTCGAACCCCGTGAGTTCGCGGACCCGTGTCAGGACTGCAACAATGGAATGGCAATGTGTCATTTGATTTGTGGCGGCCACGCGACAGTACTCGCTGTTGCAGGCACGGGCGCGTCCGTCCGGGTAACCACCGCGACCTCACGGAAGACCGGCGGAAGGTGGAAGTGTTACACTTCTGCGTTGCGTCTGGTGAGCGAGGTAACCGGCCCCGGTTACAGCAGACGCTATAAGCATTTTCTTAAAAGGTCCATGGGCGGCGGTCATCACTTAACATCAGGTAAAACGCCAGCTCTGTGACAAAAAAACATATATACGATATCACATATGATAAAACACTCTGGAAATTAATTGATCGCTCCAGACTATATGAAGAGGAGTTGAATATATGGTATAAATGTGTGTTATATTTGTCAAATTATGTTTTAAAAAAAAATTGTCTCTGCTCAGGTCATTGGTTTTTTTTCCGAACCGGTAGTAGTGTTTTTTAATAAGTAAGTATAATACTTCTATACTGAATAAAAAAGATATTTGAATGTAAAATTTGAATTTCAATTTCCGCTCTCTTCTTTGAATAAGTTCCTCTTCCCTAAGGTAGTCTGGAAGGTCGCTGCTTAAGCGATAAGGCCGCCTGTTGTTCTCATGTGCAATTTATTTATAAGTACAGCATGACCCTTCGAGTGCAATAAAGTACAATTTACTTTTTTAATGGTATACATGTTCAAAACAACAACAAGAAGTTTTATAATCAGCTATTCGTGTATCCAAGTATTATATATTTATTTCAACAATTTCAATTAATAAGCCGTGAGTTGATAGAATTAAATTGGGAGCGCGAAAGCTGAGCTAGTACGGATTTTACTCGTCTAATGTTTGTATAATGTAAAATATTTCATTGTTTTTGGTGATGATGACTCTTTAAGAAACATTTTAATTATGATAATGAATTAAGAAAGTAATAAAGTATAAAAAAATATTCTTTCAATATTTATATATAAGAACAAAAATGACCCCAGGATGTGGCATGCGTAAGGAAGACATTTGCTAATAAGTCATTTAAAGACGTATACAACAATAAGGAAATTTACTTTGTTATGCAAAATCTCGAGATACAAGTTCTGCAGCTGTGTTTTCAAATTGAGACAGATCTGGCGGCATACTGTTAAGCACATAGCGCTGCCGCCAGAGCTATGAGGGATGCACCGAGCTCCGTTCGTCTGCTCTCTGGCGCCGCGGGTCGGACATGCGCGTTGCAATCAATTCGCCGCCCCGTCAAAATGGCCGTCTGATCAATACAATCCGAACCCCGCCTAGACGCCATTAATTTAACACGCATATATATGCAACATAGCCCGTCTATAATTAGGAAGCATGTTAAAATTTAAAATTTTATTACCACATGTTTATCTTCGCAGTCCCAACGTTGAGAAGCCGACATCGCAATCACAAACGCAGACAACTTCTTTTTTATAAATAAATGAACTAACGAATACTCAAACCATCCCGTCAACTTGAGACAATTTCAAATTAAATCAAAGAGAACTGATAATTGAAAACTTCTTCAATTTGCAACTGTAACTCACAGCAGTTCAAACTCTGTATAATAACCATCATAAATATAGTAGACAAAGATTTCTCTGTGCAAAGCCCGCTGAGGCGACATGTCTGCGGGAGGACGATACTGCGAGTAACAGTGCAAGGCAGTGCAGGGTGCGGTCCGCCCGAGCGGCGAGACGCAGGCAGTTTACTGCACATGCGTCGCTTATTGATCTCTTGCATCTCGCAGCCCCGGAATCTGTCTGCGTTCAAGTAAGCTCGGAGGGACAGCGCTTACATCATTTTTATATCAAAGCATAATCAAATCATTTATTGATCGACATGAGAAACATACGTTTCATCTATCGATAGTTATTTTTTTAATCTACCACCGTTTCGTAATGAGGTTCTTCTGACAGAGAAGAAATAGGCGAAAAAACTGATAATATTGAGTTAAATGGACCATTAACACGGGTTAAAAAAACTCAACAAAATTCCTAATGGACTCATCGCATATTAGCAAATGTTGCGCCATTTGTTAATGACAAACTACATTTTGTCGAGTAAAGTAACAGCCTCTAAATTATTAGCCGGAAGTTGAGGATATTAAAAACGGGGAGCCCAAAAACTGAGCTAGCATGGCTTTAACTAGACTAAACGTTTGTAAAGTGTAAAATATTTCATTATTTGAAGATCGTATGCAAGATACAAGGCTCAAGAAGCGGGTCTAATAACCTTCCAGTAGAAAGAACCATAAACAAAGCAATAAATTACAGTGCCAATATGAAAATGTATCCTTAATAAGTTATCCTGATGTAAATAATTATTTTAAGTTGATTTCTGGTCAGCAAAACCAAGCAAACGAATAATGCCGGATAAAATGCTGCTGTATATTGAAAACAATATATTCAGTTGATCAATAAAATGCTTTGATGACTCGGAAACGCGGTATAAAGCGATTGGCTTCCCCACCTTGCTTTCCAAGGTTCGGTTCCCACACGGGACAATTATTCGTGTGATCGCACATAATTATTTCGGATCTAGACGTTTAATCCCAAGTAAGAGAGAAATCTATCTAATACCATTAACAACGTTGCGTGTAAGAGGAACGAAGAGAAATGAATTATAATTAACAAGAAAATACGTAATAAGAAGATTTCGATATAGATCTGGCGACAAACTATACAGCACATAGCGCTGTCGCCAGAGCTATGAGGGATGCGCCGAGCTCAGGTCGTCTGCTCTGGGGCGCCGCGGATCGGACATGCGCGTTGCAATCAACTCGCCGCCCCGTCAAAATGGCCGTCTGATCAATACAATCCGAACCCCGCCTAGACGCCATTAATTTAATACGTATATATATGCAACATAGACCGTCTATACTCAGGAAACATGTAAACATTTAAAATGATATTACCAAATGTTCTTCGCAGTCCCAAAGTTGAGATGCCGACATCGCAAACACAAACGCACACACCTTCTTTTTTATAAACAAATGAACTAACGAATATTCGTACAATTTCAAAATAAATCAAGCAGAACTGATAACCGGAACTGTAACTCACAGCAGTTCAAACTCTGTATAATAACCATCATAAATATAGTAGACAAAGATTTCTCTGTGCAAAGCCCGCTGAGGCGACATGTCTGCGGGAGGACGATACTGCGAGTAACAGTGCAAGGCAGTGCAGGGTGCGGTCCGCCCGAGCGGCGAGACGCAGGCAGTTTACTGCACATGCGTCGCTTATTGATCTCTTGCATCTCGCAGCCCCGGAATCTGCCTCCGTACAAATAATCACGGAGGGACAGCGCGTATATTATTTTTATATCAAATCAAATCATTTATTCAAGGACACACGAAATATACCTTTCATGTATCGATAGTTACTTTTTTTAACCTACCACCGTTTGGTAATGAGGATCCTCCAGGAAATAGGCGAAAGAAACTGGTATCCTTTTTTTCGTATTTTTTTTTTAGAAATATTAACATCATATCAAAGGATTAAACATATTATTTTGTTTTTGTAGAAATAGCTTAAGAACGATAACTCATTTCCCGGGTATCCGAATATTCCCAAATTATTATCATTAATTTCTAATTTTATAACCCTTTTTATAAAGGTTTTCTTTAATAAATTTTTCAAACCTGTTAATAAGCAGGCTTTGCGCGTTTACTGTGATCTTGTTGAAGAAGGGTATACCACGTAAACGTATTGTGTCGACGTATTGTACGAGTCTATTAACAAGTATATATTACTAATTAACATCAGTATTATTTTTTCGGCATATGAATTATAGCATAGCCTGCAAGAGTAGAAATGAGTAGAAAACTTTCTAGACAACACTGAGTTAAAAGGCCCATTAACTAAAAACTCAACCAAATACCTAATGTACTCGTCGCACATTAGCAAAGTTTGCGCCATTTATCAATGATAAATAACTTGTTGTTGAGTCAAGTAAAGTAACAGCCTGTAAATTATTAGCCGTGATAGAAGGGAATTAAAAACGAGAACCACAAAACTGAGCTAGCATGGCTGTAACGAGACTTATGTTTGCAAAGTGTAAAATATTTTATGGTGTGTAGAGCAAGTGCCGATGATGTAAATCTAGAGGAAACATTATCGTTAGGATAATATATTATAAAAAATAATCAATCAGTATCAACTTCAAAACAAAAAAGGACGGACCCTTTGTTAGACCAGAACGAAGTCAAGTGTATAAGGAAGACAATTGCTCCAAAGTGATATATAAAGACGTTTACAACAGGAAGGGAATTTCACTTTTTTACGCAAAATCTCGAGACACAAGTACTGCAGACCCATCTTTGGAATCACCAATTCGTCGGATCACAGAAGTTTACAAAAGACATAAGGCTCAAGAAGAGAGAATTTAGTTTTATCAAGAATTAGTTACACAGTACGAAATAAATATGTATCCTTAATACTTTTTGCCCATGTCAATAAATATTTTAAGCCGATTTATTAACAGCAAAACCAAGCAAACGAAGAGATGTGAATGTCTGAAAAATGCTGCTACATGTTCAAAATTATATGTATAGTTAGTTATCAATAGAGGGGCTTTGATGACTCCGTGGTGTGTTTTAAAGCGATTGGCTTCCCCACCTTGGTTTCCAAGTTTCGATTCCCACACAGGACATTATTCTTGTGATCGCACATAATTATTCCGGATCCGGATGTTTAATTCCAAGTAAGAGAGAAATCTATCTAATACGATTAAGAACATTGTGTGCAAGAGAAACAAAGAAAAATGAATTATAATTAACAGGTAAATACGTAATAAGAAGATTTCGATATAGATCTGGCGACAAACTATACAGCACATAGCGCTGCCGCCAGAGCTATGAGGGATGCACCGAGCTCCGTTCGTCTGCTCTCTGGCGCCGCGGGTCGGACATGCGCGTTGCAATGAATTCGCCGCCCCGTCAAAATGGCCGCCGTCTGATCAATACAATCCGAACCCCGCCTAGACGCCATTAATTTAACACGCATATATATGCACATAGACCGTTTATAATTAGGAAACGTGTTAAATTTAAAATGATATTACCACATGTTTATCTTCGCAGTCCCAACGTTGAGACGCCGACATCGCAAACATAAACGCACACACCTTCTTTTTTTACAAATAAATGAACTAAGGAATACTCAAACCATCCCGTCAACTTGAAACAATTTCAAATTAAATCAAGGAGAACTGATAATTGAAAACTTCTTCAATTTGCAACTGTAACTCACAGCAGTTCAAACTCGGAATAATAACCATCATAAATATAGTAGACAAAGATTTCTCTGTGCAAAGCCCGCTGAGGCGACATGTCTGCGGGAGGACGATACTGCGAGTAACAGTGCAAGGCAGTGCAGGGTGCGGTCCGCCCGAGCGGCGAGACGCGAGCAGTTTACTGCACATGCGCCGCTTATTGATCTCTTGCATCTCGCAGCCCCGGAATCTGCCTCCGTACAAATAATCACGGAGGGATAATAGTCTAAGATACGATATTAGAAATATATAACCCCATCTGATATTTATTAATATAAGAAATAAATGATAGATAATATTCACATTGACACATTGCAAATAGGTTGCCTAGTTAAATTGCGCCCGGATAATACTAAATAATTATAATTATAAGTAATTAAATTAATTTTTATGCAAGTTGTATCAAATTTAAATCTACAGATTATTGCTGGTTTTAGATAGCTATTTAAAGCCCAGATGTTTTGAAGGAAATTCCGCATCTTTGCATGTTGAGAATGTGGAGAGAATAGAACTTGATGGAGAAGTAGAAATAATTAAATAATTAACAATTCTGAATATGAATATGCAGGTTTCCTCACGATGTTTTCCTTCACCGCGGAGCACGTAATACGTCAGCGCTTAAAGTTAAAAACTTCATTGGTGCCGGCACCGGGGATCGAACTCAGGTTGCTTGAATATATTGAATTAAAGGCGAGCGCCCGGACACTGAGCTATCACGGCTGTTCTTAATCATGAGGAATTACATTTTTATTTATACATATAATATCTAGTCTAGTCTAGTCCATAGTAATAACACAAAATCCCTATTTACGTTAGCAGTCATGAACTAATAATCTGAAACTACTTTTTCATATTATTCACCGATCTATCATTCAATATTATAAAGTTACAAGCGAAGCAACAAAGAGTGATATTGCATTGAGACTCACCTAAACGTAAAAACGCACTGCACAAATTCATACACAACGAAGAGGCAATCGTAACACTTTCAATCGTCGAGAAATCAAAAAAGTAGCTAAGTTTTGCGGACGCGAGTGTCACAAGAGGCGACGCGTTTTACAATGACGTGTCAAACAGTTTCCGCCGCCTCTCGTTCGCTCATGACCATATCAAGCGAAATCATTGCCCGAGTGTTCGGAGATCGTAGATGTAATCAACTCATGGACATAATGACTCAACGCGTTTAATTTCCCAGTCGTAACGCTCAATTTCCCAGTCCTAATAAGTATTCCTAATAATTATTTACCCTTTATGGGTAATTAAATTTACAGTTACAGGTTAAATATACGTTAAAGGTATTTCTTTTGGCCACTCGCCTTCTCTTATGTCCTATCTATAGGATGCCTAAACCTACACTGTGTAAAACTTTCGAGATGTATAGCATACACACCGAAAATTTATAACGATCCTAAAATAATCACTTAATCGATTTTGCAATACCCGTGTATCTGTTGACTTAATCTTTTACGAATATAAAAATTCACGATTCCAAAGCATTGCAATCGTAAAACTCGAATTTGCATATTTTTTGCGATAGCCATGTAAATCAGTGACATGAGGCCGCATTTTGCGTGTGATCTAATTTTATCATAACCGGTAACGCTAGCAATTCTAGGACGTAGGAATAATCTTTCATCATCAGCCGTGATAGCTCGGTGTCCGGGCGCTCGCCTTTAATTCTATATACTCGAGCAACCTGAGATCGATCCACGGTACCGGCACAAATGAAATTGTAAATTTTAAGTGCTGACGTATCACGTACTGTGTAAAGGAAAATATCGTGAGGAAACCTGCATCATATTTTCGTAATAATATGAAAAAAAAAAATATTTCGAAGATATGTGAAGTAGGACTACAGCCTTATACCCTCTGAACAGAGGAGGCCTTTGTCCAGCAGTGGGACATGTGGAGACTTTACTTTTTTTTCATCATACATTGGGGCGTAATGTCGCAACGCACGTGGCCAATTTTTATTTTACTGTTATAAGGCCACACAACAGGCCATTGCACGAAGTATTACTACAGACACGTCGGATATTGTGTGTCGCATGATAGGGCACATCCATACAATGAGGTGGCAGTAACTAACTAAATAAGTAACGGATTTTTATAAGACGGATTTTTAAAAGATAGTTTAGGAAGATTGGAAGATTTCAAATAACCCACGGATTTAGACAGGTGGGTCGGAGATGCTGCAAGCGATAAGGGCGACTCAGAGCACAAACATCTAGTTAAACAGACAAGGCAGATAGTATTTTCCCAATGGTAACATCGAAAGTATGTTCAATTCCTTTTCACGCCTTAACGCCACAAGCAACGCGTACATACACAAACGTATATCGTATCGAACTGGTCATGGTATGCATTTAATATTTTTGGGTAAACTATTACGTTTAGAAGAAAACCCCGTGAATAGCAAACGCAACACGAACGACTATTAAACAAATTACATTCGGACAATTTCAATTAAAGATATTGGAGAAGAAGATTATTCGTAAGCTGTTACGAGACAAATGTCCAAGTCGAAATAGTTTTATTAATTTTGGACAAGTTAAAACCACAATCTATTAAAAATTAACATTGTTTCGTTCGAAAAGATAGTCGAAATTTGTCTCCAAGAACGGACTTAGTTTTTGTGTATATATCACGTGACGTCGAGAAGAAGAAGAAACGAAACTGAGACATTTTTATGTTAATTAAAAACAAATCCGACTTCAACTATGTGCTCGTTCGAGTTCCCTAAGTATCTCTGGAGCCAAAGATCCAATACCAATGAAATAAATATGGGACCACATGGTAAGCGCCAGCTTTCAAATAAAAAATCCGGTTCACTCAATCTAAAGTTCTGCGGTAACAATCATAAAAAAATCCAGTCGAATTGAGAATCAAAATCAAAATCAAAATCAAAAATATATTTATTCAAATAGACGCTTGCGCGCTCTTATGAATCGTCAAATTTTACATCAAAGATTATGTGTGTTATATAATGCCCACTTATATCTAACTTTATATAAAATCCTTTTATATATATATGTTTTTTTTTCGGGGGTAGGCATTAAAAAGACCGTGTGTGCTCTTGCGAAAACTTTGGTAAATAATTTATTCTAAAGTATTTTAACACATTTTGTACGGTAAAATCTTAACTTCAATAATCATACTTACATATCAGTTGTGGGCACCACTTCAAATGCCATAATAGTGTAACTATAAGCTATATCCACTGGTGACTTCTCAAAAGTGCAACTGTCAATCATACTACTAAAGTTTGATATACACCTTGATTACTATGTCCAACTTAGAACTTATAAAAGCTACACAGAAGAACATGGAAACCACCATCATGAAAAAAATGAACAAACTTGAAGCACAGCTTTCTGCTCCTAAAATTACAGAATCACTGAATCTGGCAGATGAGTTCTATGCATTTCGTAGTTATGTACTAGATATGTTTTCAATGCTACAGCTTCTCATCAATGAGGTGCAGATGGCGACAGATAGCATAGAGATGCGACACAGGAAAAAATATCTTCTTCTTGGTGGGGTCCCAGAAAAACCCAATGAAGATGTCCCTCATGTGATTCTATCCATCCTCAATAAAATCTTGGCTTCAAGGATGTCACATCATCCTCACTGTTGTCAGCTCATAGACTGGGATTGGAATCTAAAGACCATATCCGTCCCATACTATTTAGATTCACTGATGTTGCTCTCCGTGGGCAGGTTTGGAAGAAGAAGACATCACTCAAGGGCACTCCTTATGTTATGTCTGAATTTTTAACCAAGCTCAGGCAATCACTGTTCCTTGAGACTCGCAAACACTTTGGAATGAGGTCAGTTTGGACTGCTGATGGAAGTGTATATGTGAAGTTGAATAATGGGAGCCGTGCACGTATACAATCCAAAAAAGAACTAGATCACTTGGTTGCTGATCAAATCAAGGACCCACCGGCTCCTTCAAACACTGGCTCAGAACAGGAAACAAGTGCTCAGACGCCTGCGAAGACTGCTCATATTCGTCCGAAACGTTTACGCCGCTAGGAGATAATTCTTCAGTTTGTCATTTTATTACTTTCGTTCGTTAGCATGTAGGTTATTGGTTGATATTATCGATTCATTTCATATGTAAGTCCCAGAATGTTTTTCTTTCTCGGTTAAATGTACTCTTATTTTTTATTTATTTTATTTTCTTTTTTCGGCGGTTTTTAATGATTACGCTAATGAACACTTTTAATTTTTAATCTCTGTTACATTATTAATTTATATAAAACATAGTTAAAGAATATAGGTTAATATTTAAAGTGTTTATATTTAGTATTTACTTTATTAAATTGACGTTTGACATTTTGACGTCCATTGTCATAAACATACACTGGCGTTGCGTTCGGAAATTTTAGGTTGATCACACCGCATCAATAATTAACATCATTGTTGGCTTTAAGGTATCGGTTAATTTTTTTTTTTTTTTTTATTTCTTTTTTTTTTTTTTTTAATTATAACAGCTATAGAATACCTACATGTTACATGACGATTTTTTTCATACGAAAATTTATTTTTATTTTTACTTTGTTTTGTTAAATTGACCTTAGTTCATAAGTTTCTAGGTTAAGGGTATTTTGATTATACTTGATTATGTAAACAGTCAACCGGTGGATAGCTATGTAATATTAAGTAATTTTAATTGTATTATTATTGTATTGTCGAATTATTTATATTAGTTTATTTATTTTGTTTATATATTATGTCAAGTCATGGGTCCTATTTCACTGCTCTCGACTCAGACTCCTCTTTAGAATATTCTTGTGCTTCAGACAACTCTCTATCCTTAGGTTCAAGTCTTGCTGAAAAATTTTCTAATTACTCCAATAACTTCAATATTTGCCATATTAACGCCCAAAGTATTCCTCAACATTACTCCGATCTTATTGATTCGTTTAATTGTTCTTCTCTTCACGCAGTACTAGTATCTGAGAGCTGGCTTAAACCATCTTTACAATCCACCTCCTATGGTCTACCTGGCTTTGTACTCATAAGGAATGACCGCACTGGAAAAGGTGGCGGGGGCGTGGCGATCTATCTGCGTAGTGATATTCAGTTCAAAACTCTGTCTGTTTCTCCATCTCCATATTCTTCTTCTCCTGAATACATCCTCCTCGAAATCAATTTCCGTGGCTCCAAAGCAGTTCTAGGTGTAGTATATTGTCCACCTTCTATCGACTATTTTAATCAACTTGAAGCTATTCTTTCCCCTGTGGCTTCGGAGTACAAGCATCACATTATCATGGGCGACTTTAATACTAACCTCTTAATTAAGAACGTTCGTACACAGAAGTTCCATACACTTATTACTTCTGTCAACTTTTCTATACTTCCCTTGGATCCTACTTATCATAACATAGATACAGCTGATTCTTGGATTGATATTATTCTTATTTCTTCTCCCAACTATGTTGCGGAACATGGACAACTGTCCGCTCCAGGTTTCTCTCGTCATGACCTACTGTTTGTGTCGTATAAACTTAAGCCACCTAAAACAAAGCCAATTGTTCTGTACAAGCGCATTTTTTCCAAACTCAATAACGATGAGCTATGCCGTGACGCTGCCTTGATTGACTGGACTGCGACGCTAAACCATACTTCAATAGATGAAAAGCTTTCTGATCTAAATAGCTCTCTTCAGGCTTTGTATGACCTGCACGCACCATATAAACGTGTCATCATCAGGCGGCCCGCGGCTCCTTGGATTACTCCTGACGTCCGTGCAGCCATGGTTAAGCGTGATAGAGCCTTCCGAAATTTTAAGAAAAACCGGTGTGAGATTACTTGGTCAGCTTTTAAGGTTGCCAGAAATCGTTGTAACAGGATGGTAAGGGCTGCGAAACGACGACATATCCATGCTGGTGTTCTCCAGTCTTCATCGGCTAAAATATGGAAGTTTCTCAATTCTCTCGGCTTCGGAACTCAACCTTTGACGCAACCTCTCCAATTACCTATCAACGACCTTAATTCTTTCTTTACGTCTGTCCCTTCTCTCACGAATGTTGTCAAGAGTTCCACAATTTCACTAATTAATTCCATGCCTGTTCCAGATATTGATCCTTTTGATTTGTCCCCTGTAACAACTATGGTAGTCCACAAAACTATACTTTCAATCAAATCGAATGCGACTGGGTACGACAACATCAGTCGAACGATGATTGTTCGTATTATGGATCAAATCCTTCCCATTTTAACCCACATTATTAACTTCTCTCTTACCTCTGGTGCTTTTCCTGATATTTGGGCGTAAAGCTTTTGTAACACCAATTCCCAAAATTGCAACTCCCTCTTTACCTTCTCATTATAGACCCATTAGTATTCTTCCCTATCTATCCAAAATTATTGAAGCTATCGTCCATAAACAACTTTCTGATTTCGTCCACAAGAATAATATTTTAAACGAGTTTCAATCCGGCTTCCGGGCTGGTCATAGCACTACTACTGCACTGTTGAAAATTGTGGACGATGTCAGGAAAGGAATAGAGGATGCTAAATTTACAATCTTAGTTTTAATTGATTTTTCTAATGCTTTCAATACTGTCAATCACGATATCCTTCTTGCTGTCCTTAATCATTTCAGACTCTCTTCTTCAGCCCAGCAATGGTTTTCTTCCTATCTACGCGGACGCCAGCAGGCCATCCGCTCTGATGGAAATATCTCCGATTGGGCAGACCTGACTGCTGGTGTCCCGCAAGGGGGCATCCTTTCTCCCTTACTTTTTAGTATTTTTATTGACCTCATCACTCTACGTCTGAAAAGCTCTTACCATCTTTATGCTGATGATTTGCAGCTATATGTTCAAGGAACTATTGACGAGCTCAACAAATCTATTGCAGCCATTAACGCTGACCTGGTCCAGATTCGGGACTGGTCAAACAGGTTTGGCGTCGCTGTAAATCCATCTAAGTGTCAGGCAATCATTATTGTGGCAGTTCTCATCGGATAAATTCACTAGACCACAAACTTATTTCACCTGTTGTCTTTAATGGCACATGTATACCTTTCTCACCACAAGTTAAAAACTTAGGGCTAATTATTGACAACAGCTTATCGTGGACATCTCATGTTACAAATATTTGCTGTAAGGTGAATAATACACTAAGATGTCTGTTCCGCTATAAGTATTTTCTCCCCTCGTGCACTAAACTGTTACTGGTACAGACGTTGGTGCTGCCGATAATTGATTATGCTGATGTTTGTTACTCGGATGCAAATAAGGATCTTCTTAATAAGCTTGACCAACTCCTAAATAATTGTATAAGGTTCATATATGGACTTCGAAAATTTGACCACATTTCCCATTTTCGAAGTCAGCTAAATTGGTTGCAGATTCGCGAGCGTAGAAACAGTCACATTCTTCGTACCCTATTTTCTATCCTCTTTGATCCCATCGTTCCCAACTATCTGAAACAAAAATTTTCCTTCCAATCTGATGCTCACTCTCGCAACCTTCGCTCTGATCACAATCTCTCCCTTCATATTTCTCTTTATCGTTCCCGCCTTATGTCCAACTCCTTTCAAGGTCAAGCTGTACGGCTCTGGAACTCGCTACCCATCTCAATCAGAAATTGTCTGACTAAAGAGAGTTTTAAACGTGCTGTCTTTAAATTTTATTTAGATAATCGACAATGTTGAACACTGACTTGCTTGAATTTCCACTTCTTGACATTATTCTAAAATATCTAATACTATATGGGTATGTATACATTTGTGTATGTATATTTGTATTATATATATGTGTACATGTGTATATATATGTATGTATATATATGTAGTAGCTATATATATATATAGTATATGTGTATATATATATGTATGTAATATTTTATATATTATCATATATACTATATTCATCTGGCTCTTTCGCACCTCCTTATGCTTATTTGTCGGTTGATGTAAGAAACCTATGGTGTTTATGCCATTGTACGTTATTGTGCATAAAGTTTTTAAATAAATAAATAAAAAATAAAATAGTTTCCTATACATAATCATAACTCTATATTAAGTTACTATATAAACCAATGCCAAATGCATATTTACTATATCAATGTACCAAGTCACTACCAAATCTTTTGTTATCCTAATTAACTAATGATCTGTTTACCACTTCAATACTATTTCCTTTGTTACCATTTCCCGTGTACTTTGCTATTTATCTAGTAATTAAGCAATTAGTCAATAAGTCACTTAGTTTAGAACATTGTTTTACAAATCTCA